AATAAACTCGCTTATTATCGCGATTTATTTTTCATTTTCGAGTCGGCAATCGCTGAGAAATTATTGACCGATCGTTACTTTTCAGATTAAAATTATCCAATAACTCGAACTTTTCTTCAAAATACTTGGCGATCTACGGAGTTTCATTATTATTTTATTATCAAGCAAATTCTCCAATTTTTACGCGTTCCTCTATTAAATTGGCCTTATCCAAGTATCAGAAGAGCGAGCCGAAGCGCGGAACAACGGCGCAACTATTCCACAACTATGTTACAACTTATTCGTCGAAACCACCCCTCCTTCTCCCTCCTTGTTTCGATGCATACAATTTCGACTTTGATTCGAGCCGCTCGTTTGCCGAGTTATCCCAAGTATTTTATCTCGTCCGTTCATAAAAGGGCTAGTTAGTGTTATTATCGAGGAAAAAAAGGAACTAACTCTTCAACAGATGCTTCTCGTTACGCGAGTTACGTTACGACGATAAATGGTCGAATAATACGTTCCATCGTGATGAAATAAAATTCTCTTTGCTTTTATTTGACAAAGTAATGTTCGACCTCGATGCCGTGATAATCTATTCGATATGCGTATGTTTAACACGTGTTCAGCCGATTATCGATCATGTTTGAGAGAAAAAAAATGTCTGATTTTGTTCCGCGATTCTCGAAAAATTAACCCGCGTCGAAATCACGACTTCGACTCGTATGGAAACACGACGATATACATATTCGCGGATCAAGCGTTTAATAAACTGTGTTTACGACTACCTTGAAATTCAGCAGTGGAATTCCACTATGATAGCTATTTTTTTTCTCCCTCTTTCTCTCTCCCAATTGCTCGTTATTTCCTCATCGCAATCAAAGGGAGACGAGAGGTTTTTTTCATTGGAAATTTTTTTATCGGTCGCAATAAATGTTGCGAACAGGAATCGCATTTCACATTTTAATATCGGCGAAATTACTGTTTCGTTTTCTATTAATCATCATTCGTGTTATATTAATCAATCTTTTGCAGCGATCGATCTTCAAAAAAATTATATAAATAATTCTAAATCCACGATTCGATCGATTTCTTCGATCCAATTCCAATTTACAAATATACTTTGCAATAGTTCGGCAATAATCGAATTTATTCTCCAATCTAACATCTTTCATCTTCTTTTTTAGATTATTCACTTTCATACTGCTGAAGGACAATGAAGGAAAAAAATTATATGTATTCATTCGTTCGAAGTTATATTATCTCAAGTATATCGCACATGATACATTTCGTGCTATCTCTAAATCATTATAATCCAATTGAATTCAATTTACTTACGGAAGCTTCTACGATTATACCAATTAAACAACCGAATTAATTAAGAGCTCTTCGTCGAATTTCAATCGGATCCGAAATAAAGAACGAAATTCATCATCCTCGAACAATTCAAAATTAATCCATTACTCTCTCTCTCTCTCTCTACGAAATCAATTAAGGATCGAAAGATTCCACGATCACTACTCGAGATAAACACACTCATAAAGAGGATGAATTAAAAAATTAAGATCCCATCGTGGAAAAATCACGAAGAACGCAATGATGGCGTGTCCCGTTTCGATAATCGCCATTAACCGCCACTACGCGGGATCTTTGCCGTCTCATCTTCGATTTATACGTCTAATTTTCCGAATTAATGGCCACGAACGTCGAATTACAGAAGACCAACTCTTCATCGACCCCTCTCCTTCCCTTCTGCCCGCGGCCCGATGGAAATCTCTGCCAATTACTTCGTCGCGAGCTCGCGTTGCTTTCCGCGTGGATTCGCGCGCGTCAGCACGTAATTACGCGAAATTGCACAGAAGAGAAAGAGAGAGAGAGAGAAAAAATGAACGAACACGATTCTTGGTTCCTCTCCACCAAGAGGGAGGGTTTAAAAAAAGCCACCCGATGGAATCTCGCTCGCGTCGAAAACACTGTTCCATGGGATAAAGTAAGAAAATTTTGCAGAGAGTGGGCGGATACGTCTCTTAATTGGAGATTCTTGGAGAGAATTTGTAGCAGAACACAAGTTCAAACAAGATTTCTCTTTATATCTTCGATGATACTCAGGATTTTTAGTAAGATCGAAGAGGTATACGCTGAAAAGTTCAAGCTTTTTCTCCTTGTTTTCTTTGGAACAAAAATCGGATGAAAATTAATCTTCTCTTTTTTGCTCCTAGAATACATAATCCGATAGTTACCATTCGACAAAATTGTACTCGCGAAAATTCATGCTTTCGTCCGGATGGAGGTCTTGAACAGGAGGAACCCTTACCAAAGGAATCAAACGAGACATCGAGTAAGAGATAAACCGAGATAAACCGCGTCTTCGAAAAACACCGTCCCCTTCTCCCCTCCCCCCGATTAACGATCGGCGGCGGGCGAACGAGG